CAATGAAGTCCAATAAAAATATTAGGTTCAAGTCTTAGGAAGTATACAAGGAGTTCTGAAGAGAAAGAAGAAGAAAAAAAAAAAAACTGAAGCATGATTGTAAAACAGGAGAACCGAGGTACAAATGTTACAAACAAGCCCTTTGCAAATATTTACAAGGAAGAAAAGAGAGACTGTGGAATAGAAAAGTAGGAGCTATGCCCAGAAAACTTTCAGCGACTGTGATATTGACCAGATCATGCAACTTCAGGGAATTACGATGCCCACAGACAGGCTATTTTCAAACTCTCTATGCTTCTTCCACCACAGTACTTCAGAAAAATTATTTTTCTTCTTATTGCAGTAGCAAAAGAGTCTAACATCATATAATAGAACCCTAGGTCAGCGTTACAGATAAAACCCAAACCTATTGTGAGTCTCATTTCTCATTCTAGCTTTGTCTCGTATTACAATTATTTCAATTTCAAGTTGCAGCTGTAGTCATTCGTTTTCCTTTAGAATAAGTATAAAGCTTAAAAAGCTTCCAAAATATAAACTAAGGTTTGGATCTTGATTTAAGTAAATCAACTATAGAAAGATACTTTGAAGACAATTTGAATACTAAGAATTTTGGTAATTTTTTAGGTGCAATTATGTTGTTGCTACCTTTAAAAAAAATTATTATTATTATTTTGAGACAGAGTCTCATTCTGTCACCCAGGCTAGAGTGCAGTGGTGCAATGTAGGCTCACTGTAACCTTTGCCTCTCAGGTTCAAGCAATTCTCATGCCTCAGCCTCCCAGGTAGCTGGGATTGCAGGTGCCTGCCACCAGACCCAGCTAATTTTTATATTTTTAGTAGAGGCAGGGTTTTGCCATGTTGGCCAGTCTGGTCTTGAACTCCTTATCTCAGGCGATCCACCCACCTTGGCTTCCCAAAGAGCTGGGATTATAGGCATGAGTCACCACACTTGACCAATTGTCTTTTATATGTATATACTATACATGCATATGTTATGTGGGAAATTTATATGATTTGTCCTAGAATTAAAAGGAGCTACATTCCTAAAAGTATAAGAGGTAAAAATACAGCTTTTAAAAATTATTATTGATTCGAAGTTAGGAGAACCTTTCTTTGAAAAGTGGAAAATAATAAGGGTTTGTGTTATAAACTTGCTATGTGCCAGGCACTGATCGTGCTTTATGAGCTTAGGCTACTCTTCAAAATTACCCATTGACATAGGTAGTGCTGTTCTTCCCCATAAGAAAATGGGAGTACTGAGAAATTGCATAATTTGTCCAACATTGTACTGTTGGTTACCAGCAAAGCTGGGACTTAAACACAGGGCATCTGGCTCCCATGTCTGATCCCTTAGTCACTGAGCTCTGTCACTGTCCATGGGAAGAGCATCTTTTGTAGAGCTGTTCTTTGTTTAGACTTTGGGGACCCAGTCTCTTTTATTCTTAGAAAAATAAAGCAACTCTTACTCCCTTTGATATCAGCATATTCCTTTTATTTTGTCATGAACTTCAAATCTATTACTCCCAACATAGTCATACTCGCCCCATAATGTTCAGACATATTTATTACAGATGTTTATTTATGGTATGATTTCAAAGAACAGAAAACATTAGAGTAAGCTCTTCTGGTTGATTTAAACCAGGACAATTTTGAGAAACAGCTCTGACACTGTAGTAGTCGACAATGACATCTCTTTTATGTGAGTGTCAGCTTCTGGGCAATGACCTTACATAAATTGCCCTAGTCACCTGATTGTCTCAAAAGGTCTTTTGCAAATTATTTGCAGCCTAGCCAGTTGATACCACTGCTTCCATACTGTGATACTGCCAAGGTTAATACAGGAGTCTCTCTCTCTCTCTCTCTCTCTCTCTTTCTGACACATTGCTTTATATGAAAGAAATCATTTTTAAAGGTCCATTTACCTATGGACCACATCATAATAGGCTTTGAATATTGACTTTAATTTGGGGGGGAGTGTTAATAGCTATTTCTAGAAAGAAATTAGGATGAGTCTACATGGGGCTTCTAATTGACTTAATTGAAACATTGAACTTATGAACAGAATGCCTTGCTTGAGTTTGCTCACCAAATTTTTGAAAAATGATTTCTTAGAATTAACTGACCAAACTGATTTATTTTTTCAGCCATAGAAACACCATCCCTGAATGAAACACTTTTCAATTTTAGAGGAAATTGTATTTTAAGACAGAGAGAATACTATCATGTAATTTAGGGGTTATATTTATTACTATAGGGCAGCAGTTACTGACAAGATGCCTTGACAACTCTATAATTTGAAGTTATCAGTCCATATCCATGTAACAAATGCTGTCCCTCCCTGTTACCTGATAATACCTGTATATGCATCCTATGCAACAGAGAGTTTTCTGTATACAGAATTCTACCAGAATTTCTCTAGAACCCTAGAAAATAGAGTCTGACCAATATTTCTTTAAAAATAAAGGAGAAAGGAACAAAGAAAAAAATGCAGAGGTCAGGTATGATGGCTCACACCTGTAATCCCAGCACTTTGGGAGGCTGAGGCGGGTTGCTCACAAGGTCAGGAGTTCGAGACCAGTCTGGCCAACATGGTGTAACGCCGTCTCTACTAAAAACAAAAAAATTAGCTGGGCATGGTGGCAGGTGCCTGTAATCCCAGCTACTCAGGAGGCTGAGGCAGGAGAATCGCTTGAACCTGGGAGACAGAGGTTGCAGTGAGCTGAGATCATGCCACTGCACTCCAGCCTGGGTGACAGAGAGACTGTCTCAAAAAAAAAAAGAAAAGAAATGCAGAAAGAAGTAACAGAAATAGAGTATCTTTTTTTCTGAAATAGTGATTCTCAACCTGGCTGTATATTAGAATCTCCTGGAGAGTATTTGAAAAATACTGACACCTGGTCCTCAAGCCCAGCGATCAGCTGGGTGTGGTTACTTTGCTATTCGTGAGAAACAGTTAAACAGTAATAAAGGGCCAGCTAGATTTGCAGTGTTGGAGACATTCTCTACTCTGTGCTTCCTGATCGTCTCATCATAAGTAAAGTACAACTCAAGTAACTTCTCAATTTGAGTATGATGGTGGAGTGGAGATGGGAATGGAGCATAAAGCCCTAGCTCGTTCATTCATTATTCATTCAACTGACAACAAATATTTATGTGGTGCCTATTCTTTGGCAAATACAGTATTGACTTCTGGGGATGCAGTGACAAACATAACAATTAAAGAAGCATGACATGGCCCTGTCTGAAATCTTCCTTTGTGTTTGTGTATGTGTGTGTGTGTGTCTGTGTGTGTGCACACACATGCATGTGTGGTTTTTTGTAGAGATGAGATCTCACTTTGTTGTCCAGGCTGGTCTTGAACTCCTGGCTTCAAATGATCCTTCCGCTTTGGCCCCCCAAAGTGCTGGAATTACTGGCAGAAGCCACCCTACCCAGCCTAGGGCCTCAAGTTTGAATTGGTGTTAATGCCAAGATCAATCAGGTTGGTGGGAAGCAAGTAGAGAAGATGAAATGAACTTAAGGAACCAGTCAGTTTACTAGCGAAACTTGTTCATGTAAAAAAACATTTTGATACTTAAAAGGACTCAAGAGATTATCAACTTTTGTTTTAAAAATGAGTAATTTTAAAGTCGGGGGTTAAGTAACTAGCCTCTGATCATACAGCTATTCAGGACAGAGGTCTAGAACCTAGATGGCTATTTTATAATGCTGTCTACAGTCAAGTAAAAACCTTCTCAGCAGATTTGTCTTTTCATTCCAAGTTTCTAAAAGAAAATAGTTCCTAGAAAAGGCTTTTGTAAAAGAAAAGGACCAACTTCTTCCCCTGTTGAGCTAATCCTAGTGTGAAATTAACTAGCAGGAGTGCTAGTCAATTCCACAAGTCAATTCCACATTGCTGCCCTGTAGGGAGAGAAACTAGAAAAAAGGAGAGTAGGTCTTGGTCCATTTCCTCCCTAACTACAGTTGTTCTAAGGTCAAACACATAGAACATTAAAGGAAATGGCAAAAAAGGACTATTGTAAATATGAGGAGTGAGGGTCTGAGACGGGAAGACCTAAAAATTAAACCAAGAGAACAATTGTAATAAAGAATTATAGTTATATCTTCCCACACCACCTTTGAGGGCTAATCTGCAATATGGAAAGTGCATTCAGGCATCTTCTTAATGAGAAGAGAAATGCATATCTACACTATAATGAGATTCTGTTTTATACTGATTTGTGTGGAAATTTTAGGAAATTTGACAATATCAAGCGATGAGAGGATCTCTCATAAATGGCTGGTGGAAGTGTAAATTGGTATAGCCACTTTGGAAAGCTATTTGGCTTATTCATATACGCTACAACCAAGCAATTCCAGTGCTAGATATAAATCCTTGCCATGTGTATCTGGAGGCATTTGTAAACCTGTTCATGGCAGCATTGTTGTGATAGAAAAATACCCCAGAGCAATCCCAATGTCCACTGACAGGACAGTGGATAAAGTGTGATATAGTCAGACAGTGGATACTAAATAGCAATCAAAACAAATGAACTGCCACTATGTACATTGATTTGGGTGAATCTTGGCAAAAAAAATGCTGAATAAATTAAAAAGGCCACAGAAAATTTACATCTAGCATGAAACTTTAAGTTAAAACTAACAAACCACTGTTAATGGACATGTTTTTATGAATACATATATTATTAAATTATATTTTTGCAAAGTAATGGGAATGACAAATATGAGATTCAGGATAAAGATAACTTTACGGGTGTGGTGGCTCATGCCTGTAATCCCAGCACTTTGGGAGGCATGGGCAGGCAGATCACGAGGTCAGAAGATCGTGACCATCTTGGCTAACACGGTGAAACCTTGTCTCTACTAAAAATGCAAAAAATTAGCCGGATGTGGCAGCATGCGCCTGTAGTCCCAGCTACTCGAGAGGGTGAGGCAAGAGAATCGCTTGAACTCGGGAGGCAGAGGTTGCAGTGAGCTGAGATAGTGCCAGCGCACTCCAGCCTGGGAGACAAGAGCAAGACTCCATCTCAAAAAAACAAAACAAAACAAAACAAAACAACAACATGCAAAAACACTTTAGTTTGGTGAAGTAAGAAGAAAGGGATGGAGAAAGGCCACATAGATAGAAGTAAGCTATGATCAATATTCTAGCTCTTGTGTTAGTGGCAGATTCACTTTATGTATTCAATTATACAAAGATTAATAGATAATTGTGTCAGTAATTTACTGCAGCATGACAAATTATCTCATAATTTAGCAACTTAAATATTTGTTATTTCACAGAGTTTCTAGGGTCAGGAATCTGGGTGCTTTGGGCTCAGGGTCTCTCAGGAGGTAACAGTCAGGCTGTCAATCAGAGCTGCAGTCTCTGAAGGAGCTAAAGAATCCATTTCCAAGAAGGCTCATTCATGTGGCTGCTGGCATGAGGCTCAGTTCCTCACTACAGGGCTGCTCCTGAGATGGTTTCCCTGCAGAGTGAGGAGAGAGAAGAGGAGTGAAAGAGAGAGAAACAGAAAGAGAGCAAGACAGACAGAATGAGCAAGAAAATGCCCAAGATGGAAGCCACAATGTCTTTCATAAAACTACTATCAGAAGCGATATACCATCATTTCTGCTGGATGCTACTGATCAAGCAGACCAACCCTAGAACAATGTGGAAGGGGACTCAGGATGTGACTACCAGGAGGCAGTGATTATTGGGCACCATCTTGGAGTCTGGCTACTACCATAATACAATCAAAAAGAACAATGCATAGTCCAATGATGGAATTTTGTCAGGAAGCAATTACATGTACCTGAGGTTGAAAAATAAGTGAATAAATAAACAAAGAGCATTTAGTTCTGAAGGTTACTGAACACAGGGGAAAGAATGAGATGAGTTAGCTTTAATTCTGGCTCTACCACTTTCCAGCTTTACGATTCGGGGCAAATCATTTGACTTATTTCCATTTGTAGAATAGTGATGAGGATACTTATTTATCTTTTAAATTGTTTTTATCATGAAAATACTCGGCCGAGTGTGGTGGCTCACGCCTGTAATCCCAGCACTTTGGGAGGCCGAGGTGGGTGGATCACAAGGTCAGGAGTTCAAGACCAGCCTGGCCAAGATAGTGAAACCCCGTCTCTACTAAAATATAAAAATTAGACGGGTATGGTGGTGGGTGCCTGTAATCCCAGCTACTCTGGGAGGCTGAGGCAGAGAGCTGCTTGAACCTGGGAGGCGGAGGTTGCAGTGAGCCAAGACTGCACCACTGCACTCCAGCCAGGGTTACAGAGCAAGACTGTCTCAAAAAAAAAAAAAATATATATATATATATATACAATACATATAAATATATATATAAATACAGATATGTAAACATATATATATATATAAATACACACAATAGAATACTATAACAAATACCATATGCCCATAATCTAGAACAACTTTATAGATTTTTAACATACTTCTTTCATCTATGTTTCTCTTCCTGAAGTGTCTTAAAGCAAATTCCCAGCATGGTGCTATTTTATCCCTATATACATTAGTAATGCATTACTTAAAAATATAGAATTTTCTATAGATTCACATGTAAAATGAATAACTCTTGTAATACCTAGTATATCAAAACTACATTAAAATTTCTTTTGAGTGTCTCAAAACTTACATTTAACAGAATGAGAATTCAAACAAGGTCTACACATTACACTTGGTTTGCTTTGCCTCTTAAAATGTTTCAATCTAGGGGAGTCCCTTTATTCTCTTCCTCCTCCCTTGTCCTGTTGAAGAAACCCAGGCAGTTGGCTTGCAGACTATCCCACAGGCTGGATTTGTCCATTGACTTCCTTGTGATGCCATTTTACTTATTTCTACCTCTCCTATGTTTCTAGAAGATTGGAAGGTAGTCCTGAAGACTTGATGAGATTTAGATTCAATTGTTTTGGCTAAAATATTTCCTAGGTGGTGGTGTGTACTCCATAAGTACTACTGTACTTCAGAAGGCACAAATGGGTAGACTCCCCACTCGTAGTGACACTGAGATTAACAGCTGCAGGTGGTGTCAGCCTGAGACCTTCATTGCAGAGTTCCCCATCAGCCCCCCATTTGATAATTGTTGCCTAAACCAAATAATTCATGAGGAATTGTAAAATGGTGATTTCCTAATTCTATCTCTTCTCTTTCATTTGATGGAATTATGTTTATAAAGTAGAACTTTCCTTTATCAATCTGGGACTCTGGCTACCCCATTAGAAGTGGCTTGTTCCCTGTTTGACATCCTCTCAGTCCACCTTTTACTAAGGCCACTGATGCAGAAACCTGGTTCCTGCAGGTGTCACCTGAGAGCACCTCTCCTCATCTGCACCGCATACATCTCATTTTCTGTCCCTGAGTTCCTCTGACACCACAAAGGAGGGATATTTGCCTGGCACTCACAAAGGACAGCTTAAAAGTATAAGGAAGGACAGGCCCCAAAGAGGAAACTTGGATTGATGGGAGATGGGAGCTGATAAATAACTGCTCTCTTCTTGCATCAAGCTGACAATTATGAAGTATATTCTACATGGCTCAAGGCCTCATGGCCCACAATGATGACAAACCAGAGAACACCCTTGTACTGACTCTCTCTGTTTCACTCTCCCTAGTCATCCACTTCTGCTTCCTGAGGTCACTGTCCAAAATAAACTACCTAAAAAGTAAGCTCTTGTCTCAGGTTCAACTTTCAAGGGGGTAAGCCAGGCTAAGACATTACTAACTATAATTCACACAGGAAAGGCAGGATAAATGCTCAATTCTTTCATTACATTGCAAATATTCAGAATATTGTCCTAGTTACATATCATAATAAACTCATGGATTTGTATGTAATCAATGAATTCCAATCAGTTGTAGTTCTTACTCTTTGGGTGCTCAGATTGTCCTCTTTTCAGCCAGTGGGAGCTCCTTGATGCGGATCCCTTTGTGCCTCTGACCTGTCCCTTTGAACTTTAATAGCTTCCTTGATTTCTGGCACAAGATGTTCAAGGTTCATCATACACATTTCTTGTCCCAGACTAAAATCTGCCATTCCTCCAAAGAGCCTCGTTTCTTTTCAAAGAAAATGATGTTTTTAAAGTAAAATGTGGCTGGGCCCAGTGGCTCACACCTGTAATTCCAGCATTTTGGGAGGCTGAGGTGGGTGGATCACCCGAGGTCAGGAGTTTGAGGCCAGCCTGGCCAACATGGCAAAATCCTGTCTCTACTAAGAATATTAAAAAATTAGCCGGGTGTGATGGCACGTGCCTGTAGTCCCAGCTACTCAGGAGGCTGAGGCACAAGAATCGCTTGAACCCAGGAGGCGGAGGTTGTGGTGGGCTGAAATCGTGCCACTGCACTCCAGCCTGGGTGACAGAGTAAGACTCTGTCTCAAAAAAAGAAAGAGTAGAATGTGAATATAAGTAATCACTACAAGATTGTCATTACTTGTAAGCCTTTCCAAGGGATAAAGGAAGTAAAATGCTTCTTTTTCCCCCCAGTAATTCTTATTGGGATATAAGAAATACATTTTTTAAAGTAAAGGAATCATAAGTTCATATTCTTTATACTTCAACTTTAATATTACATGGATTCTACTTACTCTGAAAATCATTGTTCCTAAAAACTCTAATAACTGTTTTTACCTATAATATACAAGAATAGTTTGAAAGTACTATAATATCTGCATTTCAACCAGCAATAAGATTATTGACTAAAGCTTAAGATATCTTTGTAGTTCTATATATTCTGAGCATATATTCTATTATGATTGTACAGTGAAAACAATTTTCTAAAGTCATTTGTTTACTTGGTGTGGTTATGCCACCAACTTAATATACAGTTAGATTATTAGTTTGTTTTCAAATTTTAGGAATTGCATTTTTCTTTTAGATTTAAAAGTATTTTGAAAATGGAAAACATATACATGATTCTAAAATCAAAACCATATAGCCAAGGTATATTTAGAGTAGTGTAGCTCCCATGTCTGTCTCCTCCACCTGTTTCCTCCTGTTCCAAATATATGCAAGTATGTATTTGTAGTTTAGCTATCTTACCAAAAAAAAAGCACATATACTGTTCTGCACCTTGGTTTTTTCCTTTTTACACTAACATATATTCTGGAGATCATTTCAACTCAGTGTAAAGAAATGGCCCTCATTCTTTTCACCGTTGCATAGTTTCACTGTGTAGATCTACTCGAGTTTGTTCAACCAGTCTCTTACTTGGGATTACCTGGACGGTTTCTAATCTTTTGCTATTACAAATAATACTGCAATGAATAACCTTGTGCATAAGACATTTTATATTTTGGGATATATTCCTAGAAGTGGGTTTCTAGGGCAAAGGGAAATATATATGTAATTTTGCTAGGGATTATCAAATTCCCTTTCATAACTGCTGTGTACCATTTTTGCATTCTCAATGGCAATATGTGCCATCTCCATAGCCTGCTAACCAAGTAGGTGGTCAAACTTTTGAGTTTTTGCTAGTTTGATTACTTGTTTTCTTTTATCACCTTGGCCCAAGATATACCACGATACTTTCATCTGCCTTTGGAAGAACTCTCTCAGGATAAACAATAGGTGATTGTATTGAGGGTGACAGAAGGAGGTTGGCTGCAATATCTCTATCTATTTCTACTCACCCAATCATGGAAATGCCAGCATCCACAGCATCATCATCCTTGTTAAGACCTTGTATTTTCCAAGGTTGGCTCAGGTTTCTAGCCAAAGAAAAGGACATCAAATATGACCTTACTTCTTTCTAAGGTCAGCAGAGCAGCCAGTAAGTGAGTTCTACTGGTATAAGCCTCAAAATCCTGAAAAAGGTGGAGTAGGAACTGTGATCATTTTTTGTCAGCTTGCGGTCTCCAAAACAACTCCAATGCCAAGGGGAAGTCCCTGAGTGTGACTGAAAGTTTCCACAGATTGTAGAGTGACCACTCTCAAACCTGCAGGGCTCCTCATACCCAGGACCTCTTCTTTTGCTGCTTTGTAGGAGTAAATGTCATGAATGGAGACTGCTTTTTTTCTTTCAGCAGCTCCCGTTTCTCTGTACTGCAGTGGGCAATTTAGCACTCCAGGGGACAGACATTTGGTAATGTTTTGAGGCATAGCTGGTTGTCACAACTTAGAAAGGGGGACTGCTAACATCTAGTAGGTAGAGGTCAGGAATGCTACTAAACACCGTACAATATTCAGGACTCTCCCATTTCCCCTAACGAAAAATTATCTCGTCCAAAATGCCAATAATGCCAAGGCTGAGAAATCCTGCTGTATTCTTCTTTATGTACACATTCATAAACATCCTCAAAATGACTACTATCAGTGGCAGGGGAAGGGCAGAATCACAGAGACTCCCCCTCCCTGTTTCTCCAAAAATCACTGGCAATTCAGAAATCTCTTTAATCATAAAGACTCTAAGGAATTACATATTTATCCGGGAGATTAAAGAACAAATACCATTTTAACCTTCTAAAAACTGATTATTATTAGGTATAATACAACCTTTTAACTTTAAGTATAAAGGAAACTGCTGATTATTTAAAGTAAATGGGACCCAAAGTCCCATGAATAATCAAAAACTTGGTTAATAGAGTATGACCAAAGAATAATGCACTTGGCTTCTGTAGAGAAATTAAAGTACATGCTGTGAATTGGTACTGAGGAAATTGCGTGAAAAGCTATCCTTAAGGAACTATGAGGCTTAAGGAACAGCCTCAGGTGTACAATATATCACATTAGTCTCGATTTCTCTTTGTATTTTCATGACTTCTTTCACCTTGGATAACCCAGAAGCTCTGGCCTTGGAACTTTCTGGAATGGTAAAGTATCTCACTCTCCATGTTTATTTTCATCTACTAACAGACCTGTTATTTTGTTGCCAAGAGTTTATCTCTTTCACAGGAATTATTTTCAAACTTCAGCTTACTTACTTTGAGGGCATAGACTGTGTTTATAATCACCATCACATTAAATAAAATGTGCCCCTGAAAAGTTATACCTAAACTGAATTTTTGTAAATAAAATAAAAAATTTAAATCACAAGGGAAACTTGCTAAAGAGAGTATGAAGCTAAATCTTTTGTAGAGAAAATCATCTTGTTTTGCAATGCGAACAACCACTCTTTAAGTCCCAATTTTTATTTGTAGCTCAAGAGGCTGGTTCAGTATTATGCATGATGCTCATTTGAAAAATACTGAAAGGCCGGGAGCGTTAGCTCACGCCTGTAATTCCAGCACTTTGGGATGCCGAGGTGGGGGTGGGGGGGAGGATTACCTGAGGTCAGCAGTTCGAGACCAGCCTAGCCAACATGGTGAAACCCCCGTCTCTACTAAAAATACAAAAATTAGCCAGGCATGGTGGCGGGCGCCTGTAGTCTCAACTACTTGGTAGGCTGAGGCACAAGAATTGCCGAACCTGGGAGATGGAGGTTGCAGTAAGCTGAGAACCCGCCACTGCACTCCAGCCTGGGCGACAGAGCAAGACTCATCTCAAAAAATAAATAAAAAATAAAAGTTTTAGAGAGTTTAACAAGCTATTTTTAAGAGTGTAAAAAATGGATAATATATCCTTTATTATTAAGAAGGGTTAATACCTGTTTTAGGTGGTAAGAAAGGATGTAAGATCCTAGACACAGTTGAAAAAAACAATAGGTAGCATTACTGAAAAGATAATCACGTTGATTGTTTCTTCTCAGCAATGAGGAGAAAATAGTGGATGGGAGTATATTATTTAGACAGTGTAATCTTTCGGTTAAAATACGGATTCTGAAACCAGATTGTCTGGGCTCACATCCCTGCCTAGTGTGGTCTTGGGCAACTTACACTACTCGACTGCACCTTGGTTTCCTCACAGAAAACACGGATAATACTAATATTATCTACTTAATGAGGTTGGTCTGAGGATTAAATAAAGTAATACATGAACTAGTACGTGAAAAGCACTCCGGTCAGCGATAGTCTTGAATCCTGAGCTCCAGGATAGGCATAAAGAAAAGATGAGACGCAGGGAGCAGGCAACGTTTCATTCTTCCTCTCCGCACCCTTGGGAAGGAGGCACCGCTGTTTCTTTCAGGGCTCAGCGAGGAGGCCAGTAATTCGAAGCTGGATCCGAGGACTTTCCTTGGGACCCCTTGCCGCCTCACCACGCCACCTTTCGTCTGATTGGGCTCTGAGTGCACGAGGGCTCAACCCACGCTCCGACTTAGGGTTTCACCACTGAGCCGTGGCCCCAGCTCCAGGAGGCATTGCAGCCCGAGGGACTGCCTTCACGTCCGGCCACGGCCACTGCCAGGGGCCGGTGGCGACAGCGACGAAAGGCTTCCGGGAGGCACTGGCGCCTCCGCCCGACGCCCTTCCTTGCGGACGAGCCGGGGGCTGACCCTTGTTCGTGACACCAATTCTTAGGCATGGCACTCAGAGCTGGGCGCCGGGGACTCTAATGAATCCAGACTCGGGCCAGGAGCCGTGGGCAGAGGGACAACTAGCAGCCCACAGCTAATCCCCATCACCAGCGATCTTCGTTGGCCAGGTAGGGGAGGGTGGGAGGAGCTGAACCTCGCCTTCCGGGGTTCATCTCCAAAGCACCGCCCTTTCGGGGGCGTTCTCCGGTACGCCGTAAAGCAGAGAGCATTCTTAACAACTCGCCTCCGTCTTTACGGCAGGCCGCATTCCACACGTTTAATATGGCGTTCTCTACATAGGCAGTAGCCGTGGTTTCTACCCCGGGTGGCCGGGAGCAGTGCTGAGCTGGACCTGTAGTTCGCCCAGCCTGGGCTGCAGAAAGCAGCAGTTAAAGTACATTTCTGGTCACGGCTCCAGGAAGCCACCCTCCTCTGAGGGTCAATAGTTGCCGCTTCCTTTTAGTTACTGCAAGTTCCTCCTCTGCCCCTGGTTTGTTACCCGCGCCACCTCTGGATATCCCCAGGTCCCAGACCCTTCCAGACTCAAACCATGAACCTTCGGCAGCTGCTGTTCCGCTTGCCCCATTATCTTGGAGCCTTGGGTTCCCCGCGTCGCCTGTGGTGGTCCCCGTCCATCGACACCATCTTCTCGGTGGGCTCTTGGCGTTGTCAGTCCTCCAAGTCCCCGGCCCACTGGAAACAGGTAGTGTCAGAGGCGGAGAAGATCGTGGGGTACCCCACGTCCTTCATGAGCCTCCGCTGCCTGCTGAGCGACGAGCTCAGCAACATCGCTATGCAGGTGCGGAAGCTGGTGGGCACTCAGCACCCTCTGCTTACCACAGCCAGGTGAGCTACCCCGCTCTCGCTGACACACACGCACTCATTGGAATTCTTTTTTTCTTGCTGGCAGACACGTTCTACCTCTCTCGGACTAGCTCCTGGTTTATCTCTTTTTAGTCCTTCCTTTTTACTCAATCCTCCTAGACGTTCCATGTTGTCTCTTCTCTAGTCCACTTAACATTCTTGCGCAGCTGAGTGGATAAGTGGTTTTCTTTGAGAAACACTTGTATGCTTTCCGCGATTTGGCTTCTTAATTGTTGAGGATGAAGATGCCTCAGTGATTTGTGGAGAAATCGAGCGGGGATGTAGGTTTATTGAGTCACTTCCTGGAATTAAAAATTGGATAGATTAATTTTCTGTCCCACACTGTTCAGGGAAAGTAGGGAGGGAGAGAGAGAGGCTGAAGGTAGATAGTTCTTTCCAATGAATATCCTGGGGTTGAAGTGGGAATTTATCCCATTGGTAGTCATTATCTTCTTGGGATATTTCTCACTTATGCTGTACTACTGCTGTGAAACCTGCCTTTAGGATTTATAAAACCTTTTTTTTTTCCCCACTTAAAAAAATTCCACACCTTCTGATTTGTAGTTAGTTTAAACATACAGCAAAGTTACAAGAAATATACTACAGAGAACATGCTTGCATACCCTATAATCAGATTCACCTACTACGTAGATATATATATGTCTAAATATATGTCAATATACATAAAATACATAAACATACCGATATATATATATATATATGTATATTATTCACATGTATATGTCGTTCTATATTTTTTGTTGGGATCATTTGATTTTAGATTGCATACATCATGATCCTCTTCCCAAAAATACTTCAGTATGTATTTCCTAAGCATAGCAGTAATCTCCTACGTAAGTACACTACAGTTACCGACTTAGGTATATTTAATATTCATACAATACTTTAATCTACCATTTAATTTCAATTTTGTTAATTGAATAATAATGTTCTTTATAGTTTATTTTATTATATTTTATTTTGTTTTATTTTATTTTGTCTCCCAGGCTGGAGTGCAGTGGCATGATCTCTTCTCACTTTAACCTTCACCTCTTGAGTTCAAATGATTCTCCTGTCTCAGCCTCTGAAGTAGCTGGGACTACTGGTGTGCACCATCACACCCAGCTAATTTTTGTATTTTGAGTAGAGACGGGGTTTCACCATGTTAGCCAGGATGGTCTCGATCTCCTGACTTCGTGATTTGCCCACCTCGGGCTCCCGGAGTGCTGGGATTACAGGCATGAGCCACCGGGCCTGGCCTGTTATAGTATTCTTTACCCTGCAGGACACGATTCAGTCCAGGATCAAATATTGCATTTAGTTGTTATATTTCGTTCGTCTTCTTCAATCAGACACATTTTCATATTTCTTCTTGGCTTTTGTGACTAAAGCAGTGGTTCTCAACTGGGGCAATTTTGAGAGGACATTTGGCAATGTATGGAGACATTTTTGGTGGTCACAAATGGAGGCACATTACTGGCATTTAGTGGATAGAGGCCAGGGATGCTACCCTTCAGTGCCCAGGGCAGACCCACAAGAAATAATCAGGTGCTACAAAATGTCAGTAGTGCCAACGTGGAGATATCCAGGACTAAAAGCACCTTTTTTTCTGTTGTTTTTTAAAAGTAATCTTCTATTTTGATATAGTTATAGATTTACATGCAGTTGGAAGAAATAACATAAAAAAATCTAACATATACCTAACCCAGTTTCTCCCAATGGTAACATCTTTTGAAACAATGGTATAATATCATAAGCAGGATATTTACATTGATACAGTCAAGATAAAGAACACATTCATCACTATAAGGATTCCTCATGTTGCTCTTTTTTAGCCACACTCACTTCCCTTGCCCACCCTTTTCTATAGTGTTTGAGGCACCTGTCATTTTCTTACTGCAAAGGTTACCAAATAGCAATAATAAAGTGATTTTATTCTTTGGCATTTTTCCTAGTTATTAGGAATGTCATCTTATGATTAGCTGGAATGTTTTCCAGAGATTCTAGATGATACACACTCAAAACACATACACACACATATATGTTTAAAGCTTAATGAAATGAATAAGCCAAAACTTAAGAACTCCCAAACTTAAGAACTGTAATTTTACCCATCCTGTTGAAGCTAAATATGTACTTCTCAGTGTATCTCTCTGACTCCCACTAAACTGTTTTAAACATTTTTCCTTTTCTTTTTTAAAATTTAAGTTCTGGGGTACATATGCAGATCTTGCAGGATTGTTACATACGTATACACATGCCATGGTAGTTTGCTGCCTCCATCCCCCCGTCACCTGTCACCTGCATTAGGTATTTCTCCTAATGCTATCCCTCCCCAACCTCCCCACTCCCTGCAATCCCTCCCCTAGCCCCCCACCCCTCAACAGACCCCACTGTGTAATGTTCCCCTCCGTGTGTCCATGTGTTCTCATTGTTCAGCACGTGAGAACGTGGGGTTTGGTTTTCTGTTCTTGTGTTGGTTTGCTGAGAATGACGGTTTCCAGGTTCATCCATGTCCCTGCAAAGGACATGAACTCATTGTTTCTTATGGCTGCGTAGTATTCCATGGGGGTATATGTGCCACATTTTTTTTTTTTTTTTCAATTCAGTGTCTAATGTTTCGGCTTCTTCTTTTTTTTTTTTTTTTCTGTGAGGGGCGGGGTCGCCTCTAGGGGCTGGCTGTATAAGAATTTCACACCACGACCAGGCTGGACACCAGTGGCAAGAGGGACTCAGAGAAAGGACTTGAGGCCACGGTTGCACAGGGTCCCTTTGCATGGGACACCTCTTGAGGGTCGGGATGGGGGTAGCGGCATGAAGGTGGGGCTTGGGAGCCAGGCAGAGACAGGTTCAAATTCCAGCTGGCTGTACTGGACAAAGCACATGACTCTCTGTGTCTCCGTTTCCTCATCTGTAAAGGGAAGGTGATTTTAACTTATGATGTTATAGCAAAGGTAGGGTGAGCTGGTGGGGTCAGGCAGGCCCAGTGAGGAATAGCCATGGGATTTCTTTTCTTTTTTCTTAAAAAAAAAAAAAAAAGAAGAAAGAAAGAAAAAAAAAGAGTGAAGGAGAGGAAGAAAGAGAAAGAGGACGAGGGAGAGAGAACAGGGGTGTTGCTTTATTGCGCCACATTTTTTTAATCCAGTCTATCTTTGATAGGCACTTGGGTTTGTTCCATGCCTTTGCTGTTATACACAGTGTTGCAATTAATGTACGTGTGCACATTTTTCCTTTTCAAAATTACAATGGGACCTGGTGTGGTGGCTCATGTCTGTGATCCCAGCACTTTGGGAGGCAAAGTAGAAAGATTGCTTGAGCCCAGGAGTTTGAGACCAGCCTGGGCAACAGAGCAAAACCCTCTGTCTACAAAAAAATAAATTAGTTGGGCTTGGAGGTGCACATCTATAGTCCCAGCTACTTGGGAGGATTGGTTGAGTTGGGAGGTCAAGGCTGTTGTGAGCCATGATTGCGCCACTGCCCTCCTGTCTGGGCAAGAGACCCTGTCTCAAAGTAAAACGAAATAAATAAAATTACATTGTTATTTTTCTAAATAGTAATATTTCATTTTACTGGTTTTTTTGTTTTCATTTTTTTTTTCATTTTACTGATTTCTTTGCAATGTACAAATATAGTTTATTGCATATGGCTCTATGTGACTTTCTTTTTAAAATTCATGGTTTCTGAGATTCATCCATGTTTTATGTTTAACTGTATTTCATTAGGTTTTTACTGGTGTATGAAATTCTATTGTGTGAATGTACCACAATCGTCTTTTTTTAAAAAAATTTTTTGAGACAGAGTTTCGCTCTTGTTGACCAGGCTGGAGTTCGGTGGCACAGTCTCAGCTTGCTACAACCTCTGCCTCCCAGGTTCAAGCGATTCCCCTGTTTCAAGTAGCTAGGATTACAGGTGCCCACCACCATGCCTGGCTAATTTTTGTATTTTTAGTAGAGACAGCATTTCACCATGTTGGCCAGGCTGGTCTCGAACTCCTGACATCAGGTGATCTGCCCACCTTAGCCTCCCAAAGTGCTAGGATTATAGGCATGATCCACCATGCTGGGCCTCACAGTTGTCTTGTAATCAACATTTGGGTTGTTGTTGCATTTTTTTGGTATTATGAAAAATGCTGTTATAAATATGTTTGCATCTCTTTTGGTGTTCATGTCATGAGGATATAAATACAGGAGTGTAATTGCTGGGTGTGCACGTGTTTATCTTTAGAATGCTTTCTAAAGTGAATGTATCAGTTCATACTCTCATAATCAACTTCTGAGTTCAGGTTACTCCTAGTTCTCATAACACTAGAACCAAAAGGTTTCTTATTTTATTTATTTTTTATTTT